AGAGGCACGTGCGTCCGCACCGGGACCCCGAGTGGACCGCCGGCACGCGTGCCGAGTGGGGAGAGCGCCCCCTGCTCACCTCCCTCCGCTTCTCTTTACTGTGGCAAAATGCACGGCACAAAATTCACCTTGATCGCTTGAGTGTGGGGCGCACTGGCATCAGGCACCCTCACACGCTGCGCAGCCCCCCACACCATCCGTCTCCGGAGCTTCACGCCGTAAAAAGGCATCTCTGTGCCCGTGGAGCACTGGCCCCCACCCTCCCCCAGCCCCTGCACGTCCCGTCCCACAGTGGCTGCAAACGTGGCTCCTCCAGGGACCCCCCCAAGTGGAGTCCTGCGGGCTCTGTCCCCTGATGCGGGGCCGACTCCACTGAGCGCCGTGTCCCCAAGGCCCCTCTGCCTGGAAGCAGGTGCCGGGACTCCGCTCTCCATCACCGCTGAGCGTGGACCACGCCTGCATCCACTCACCTATCCATAGACATTGGGGTAGTTTGCAGCTTTCTTTTTTCACTGTATTAGTATGGTCAGGTTTTAACTTTCCAGTTTTTAAAAAATATGTTCACTTCTGACACAGCTTAAAGGAAGGCAAAACAAAACGAAGTAAAGTCCACCTTGATTATTTGTTGGGTTTGATTTTGTTAGAACAGGAAATAAAGTAAATGACTGGCATAATTGAATCTTTTGATATCTGCCATTGAGTAACATACTTGATACTAATTTTACCTCAGATTCTGATTTACCGCAGGCTATAGTATATTTATATTTGTTAACTGTTCCTTTCAAAATAGAAATATTTTTATTAAAGAATCTGTACACAAACATATATTCTTAATAACAAATTATAAGGACAAGTCACCTTCTTTGGTTGCTTAGTATCCACCAGGAGAGATTGGTACAACTTGTCTCCGCCTGTTGTCTGTGTAAATAATGTGGCTGGGAACATGGGTGCACAGATACCTGTTAAGTGGACACCCAGAGGCGGGTCCCCGGGTCGCCCCGAGGAACCTCCACGCCGTCTAACACGTGGCTGCGCAGGCTCAGCACCGCTGCCGCACGCGAGGGCTCATTGTCTCCACATGTTACCAGCACGTGTCCTCTGTGCTGGGGAGTGGCCCCCCCAGCTGGGGGTGGGGGTGTCTACTTGTGGCTTTCACTTGCATTTCCCTGATGACTGGCCTGATTCCTCTCTGTCCCCTGAAGTTTCTGGGACTGGGAGAAGGGCGAGAAGCTGGATTACTTCCACAATGGGAACCCTCGCTACACCAGGGTCACCGCCATGGAGTATCTGAACGGCCAGGACCGCTCGCTTCTGCTCACGGCCACAGGTGAGTGGCTCTGTGTGGGGACCAGCCCCGGTTGCCGCGGGCTCCTTTGACCCTGATCATTTCTTCTTGTAACGAGGGCCATCATAAGGGAGGTGGGGGCTTTCTGTGGGGAAGGGCTTCACCCCCAAGGCGGGGTGAGCAGAGTGACCGCTGCCAGTCGGTGTCCTGCTGTGTCTGTGACGCCGATGGAGGCAAGGCCGCAGGTCTCAGGACACAAAGGACCAGGGTGCAGGCCCTGCCATTGCTGCGCCCACCCCTCCCCACTCTGGCCTCCTCGGGGCGGAGCCCCTTCCCTGCAGGCCACCTGTGGTCCCTTCAGCGACAGGTCCAAAATGTCACTTCACCTCACTCGGACAGTAGTTTCCCAGGTCAGCTGCCCTCAGCCAGCTGCCACCTCCTTCACATTTGAGAGTGTGACCCACTGCTTCCTGGTGAGAAGTCACCGCTGCGCCTGCAACACTTCCTTCCGAGGTGACAGACATGTGGTGGGGGAGGCGGGAGGAGAAAGGGAGCACCGAGCGCAGGCACTGAGCTGGACACCCCGGCCCACTTCCTGTGTGGCCCCAGTGCAGCCTGCTGCTAGCCTGGCGCCTGTTCTGATCCTGACCTACTGGGCCCTGGTCCTGGCCTGCCTGCTCCTGGCCAGGTCTTTGTTCTGGTCCTCGCCTGGCCTGCCCTCATTCTGGGCTTCTGAGCCATTGAGACAGCTGAGCTGGTTACACCCACAACACAACCTCTTTCTTCTTTTAAAGTGTTCCTGGGCCTGCTGCGAAGTGTGAGCCCATGGGGAGAGGTCCTGCCGGCGGCCACTCCCCGCGCACTGCCACCTCAGGGCCCAGTGAAGTCACGCCGTGGTCCAAATCAGTGTCCTCCACAGCAGGCGTCAGGGCGGAGAGGCAGATGGCCAGAGCTGTGGTGCAGGATGTCGGGAAGGCTCAGCAGAGGTCTTAGCACAGGTTCCAGTGAGCTGCTCTGAGCCCACGAGGAGGAGAGGGTGCTCCCCTGGGCATCAGGGGCGCCACAGAGGGACCAAGGGTCCTCACAAGTTGGGTCCCAGTGCAGAAGCGGCACAGGAGCCTGAGTTCTGTGGCACAGGAAGCTCACTGTGGAAGGGGTCAGGCAGACGGGCGGAGGGCAGGACCTCGGCTCAGGGAGGGGCCTGGCCCTCTCTCTGTTGCACAAGAAGTGGTCACCCTCAAGGGCAGGTGACGACAGGGCTGCGAGCAGCGCAAGGCTTGAAGTCATCCCCTGGGGGCCATGTGTGCAGGGCTAATGAGGCCAGAAAGTGGAGTTCAGGACCCCCAACGTCGGGAAAGGAAGCAAGGAAGCGCAGGGCACCTGCAGCTCACCGCAGCTCTGCCAGAGCACAGGCCCACATGCCCCACACTGAGTGTGTCCCGGCCCGAGAGCCCGCGGGTGAGGTCACGTGGCAGAGGCAAGGCCCACGGGTGTTGGAGCGCAGGGGTCATGGGTGTGGGCGGAAAGACCCCAGGGGCTTTGTTGCTCAGGGAGAGTGACTTTTCTTCTCTGCACACAGTGAGTCCCTGCAGGGAAGTCTCAGGAAATTGGAGCGGCCTGGGAGCAGCCAACACCCCCTCCCCTCGCCATGGCTTTCCCCAAGTGCCCCCCGTAGGTCAGGGCACAGCTAGGAAGCAGGCGCCCAGAAAACCATCCCTCTGGCATCAGGCCACCAAGTGCAAGACCTGAGCAGGCCTCTCACAGCGCCTCCTCTGGGTCGGCTCTTCCGCCCAGAACAGGCGGGCCTGGGTTTTAATGTCCTCTTCTCTCCCCAAGATGATGGCGCCATCAGGGTCTGGAAGAATTTTGCTGATTTGGAGAAGAATCCAGAAATGGTGACTGCTTGGCAGGGGCTCTCAGACATGCTGCCAACAACTCGAGGTGGGTCCCCCCAGGGGCAGAGAAGGTCCCTTAGCTACGGGGGCCCACCGTCCATGTCCCCCCGTGGTGGCTCCACAGGCCATCTCCACATTCGCCAAGTCATAAACCACCCAGCTTCCTCCAAACACCATGAAGTCCTTCTTCCCAGAGGCTGGGCTCTGCAGGAGGGAGCCCAGCTGGCCCCTGCCCTGCCTGAGCAGGCCCCCGGCCATGGGGCACCCGCCCCTGGCCCTCTTCCTTGGCTTGAAGCACATGTTGCTCAGAGAAGCTGTCCTGCAGGCAGGCCTGGTCCTGCGCTCTTTGTGCCCAGATCAGTTCCCTTGTGATGAGTGCACGGAGGCATGCCAGGGGCATCTTGTACATGGGTGGAGGCCATGTGTACTCACCCGGCCTGCCCTGGGCTGACAGAGGGCATCTCAATGGCTGCAGCGTCCAGCCAGGCACAGCACGCACACTGCTGTCAGGTGGGCACAACCGCCGCTTTGTGGCTGGGGCAACACCCCTGTGCCCATGCACCTGCCAGAGCTGCATGGTCTCCAAGCTCTGTACTCGCAGGCTGACTGTGTTCCGTGGCACCTACCACAGGCTGCAGGGGCCAGGCTGTCCAGCTGATTTCTACAGCCACCCCACAGCTGGAACTGTCTCCCTTCAGTGTGGTCCCAAAGCCACTGGTGCTGCTGAAATGACAATAAAGGCGGCTTACCCTCTGCTCCTCTGCTAACCTGGGATTTCTGCATCGTTGTGCACCTTTTCCTCACCTGTGTCCCGTCCCTTCCCAGGTGGCCCTGCCTGCGCTCCTTCCCTTCCTGGGTCCTGTCATCACGTGGCCATGCTCCTCACAGCCGGTTGTCTATGGCTCCTTCTCTCCTTCATCCTGCGCCCCTCGGAGGTGGCCTCGCATGGGCGGGGGGCTGCCCCAACGCAGCACAGACTGCTCCAGGGCAGAGAGCTCCTTGTATACTGTTTTTGAAAATGCAGCCATGTTTTTAATTTTTATTAGGAAAAATAGCCAACCATATTCACCCACCCCAACCCCCAGCATTGCCAGTTTACACCACCTGGGCCTCTCTGGACCAGGTCGTGTGCCTGTGTGGGTGACATGGCTGCAGTCACAGGGTGCCTTCATCTTTGTACTACTTGCTCCCACATTCGAGCAAAAATCTACCCATCAGCCCCCTCCCCTCTGCTGCTGGCAGCTCTGTCGGGGGCACGTTCTTGGGGCCACTGCAGGACACATGCTGGAGGGCTGTCCCCTCAGGACACTGGCTTCCTGCCTCTGTCTCTGCAGGCGACACCCCTGCCAGCTCTCCCGCCAGCCACTCCTTGCGGGCGGTAGAGACCCGTGCGTGGGCAACGCAAGCACTGCGGAGAGCAGAGTCAGGCTCACGGCCACGCCAGGGCGTGGGAGGCCGGCAGCCCCCAGTGGCTCTGTAGATACATGGGTGTTAGGTTTATTGATCTTACCAATGCCCACCTGTCCACCCCCAAATGCTGTGCGTGTATGTGTTTTGGGGGCCTGAGGAACAGTGTTACCCATAATACCAGTGCCCCATGCTTCAGGTGAGGTGAGGGAGGCCTGGAGGATGGCATGCAGGTGTGAGCTGATGGCTAGAGGTCTGGAAGCAGGGGTGAGGGGACTGGCACATAGCAGAGGCATGCTTTGGGTCTTGCCCCTGCATGGCATCCAGTCCCTTAGAGGCCCAGACATCCCCTGGAATGTGGAGAGCCGCTCCTGGTCTCAGGTGTCCACTGCAGCCCTGACTTGAGAATAGCTTCCACCAGTGCAGACCTACGTTTCCTACTGGTCCCTCCCCTCTGGACCCTCTGCCCCTCTCCTGGGTTTTCAGAAATCTCCCCCAGAGACACAGAGCTGGCAAGGGGGCTGGCAGGTGAGGGTGAAGGGTTCCTGGGGGTCACCCTGCGCTGTCCTGAGCTGCCACACAGTTTCTTAGGTTGCATCCTCTGCCTTGCGACCAGGCTTCAGTGGCTCAGCATTATTTTCTCGTCCTTCTGGGAGGTTGGAAAGATGGAAGAGGCTGGAGCCTGGGAGACCAGCTGCTCTAAGGATCAGGACAGGACGGGCTGGTGTGCACGAGGTCCCGGGAGGAACCCGGTGCTCCTGCCGCCTCACTGGCTCGCGCCCTCCTGCCCCGCGGCCTCAGCAGGATCAGAGACAACTCGATTACAACTACAGTTTCAGGATCTGAAGCTCAGCAGTTGGGGGCAGGTCTGCTGGGACTCTGACCCCTACACCACCTTCTCGTTGCTTCTGCCCATCAGCCCCCAACCCTCCTGGGAGGCAGCTCTGGCCTTAAGCAGGACAGTCAGAGACTGGGAGTGGAGTGGATGCCGCCCGGAGCACGTCCACCCGGGCTCATCCCGGAGTGCCCCTGCAGCAGAAGGCAGTGCCCTCAGAGCTCGGGCGGGGGCAGCAGCCCACCCGGCTCCTCCAGATCACCTCCAGTGTTGGAAGCTGCTTCTCCACCCACCGGCCCACGAGTAATAGCTGCCAGCCAGCCGTCTGCTGGGAGGAGGCATGCTGTCTGGGGGCTGGCTGTGGTCCTCTCCACCTCCACCACAGCCGAGGACCTGACACAGCGACCTGCACACCGTGCAGCCCAGCCAACCTGGGCCTCCCTACAGAGGTCAGGAAGGGCTCGCCATGCACACCGTGTGCCAGGCAACTGAAGGAGGGCGCAGTCAGACCCAGAGGACTTGGAGGGCTGGGACAGAGGGGAGCCCTTTGAAGCAGTTAGAAAGTGCTGCCTGTGAAGTCTTTCGTCCTGAGCCCTGCCCAGCCGGGATCCACTCGCAGAGACCTGGATTCCGCTGTATGTGACTGAAGAGGATGTCTCCTGCAGGAGCCCCATTCCGCCCTTCAGAAGTCTGGAGATTTCCATGCAGGGCCTCCATCGTTGTCAAGTACCTGCCGTGCACACTACCCTCCTGCCCACAGTCAGCCAGACTGAAGGCAAGCCCTGGCGAGCACACCCCTGGCAGCCTAGTGCAGCCACACTGAGTGGGCCGGCCAGCCCGACCCAGGTGCAGGCAGCCCCCACGCCCACTGATGCAGGGCCCTGTGGAGCAGAGCTGATGGCAGCTCTCAGAGCTGGAGAGGAGCCTGGCCCGCACCGCCCGCCCCTCTGCCCCTCCCTCTGACGCAGCGCCTGCACTAACCACAGGTGCCTCGGCCACTCACCTCCCTGTCCACGGCCCCCTTGCCCAGCCGTGGCAGACTTCACCTCTGTGCCTTCGTGGGTGGGGAGCCCCGCTGCCAGGCTGGGTCATGCTTCTCAGTGTGCCGCACCTCCCCATTTCCCCTCTAGAGAGAGGCTGCTCTTGGGGCCAGAAACCCTGGTAATTGGGTTTTCTCACCTGTCAGGTAAATTTTGCCAAGGTCAGCAGGCTGTCCAGTGAGGCGACCCTTTTTCTGTGAATGGAAGTGCGCCGTGGCCACCTGCCTCGCTCCCATTCCCTTCTGCCTGGGTGTTCTGACCCTGCGTGATGTCTGACTTGAGCAGGGTTTGCTTTGCCTGGCCGGCCGCCATTTGCACCAAGCCCGCGATCCGTTTCCTCGCGGGTCTGGACCGCAGGGTCTCCGTCTGTCTTGACTGCAGTGAGCAGGGAGGTGAGTCCCTGTCTCTTACCTGCGACCACAGGGCCGGGCAGGAGCTCAGCCCCCTCCTCTGCCCGGGGACATGCGTTCTCGCGCCTGCGGCGCTCTGTGGGCCCGCAGAGGCTCCGGGCCCTGGTTTGGTCTCCTTGCTCCAGCCGCTCACCCCTCCCATACGGAAGGATCACCAGCACTTGGCCGTGTGAGGCTGTGGGGATGATCTTAGAGAAAAACACAGAGGCATCTCCCTTGGCCCCGAGGCCTGTGGGCGCGCCGCCTGCACCTCCTCCTCCCAGGGAGAGGGAGAGGGAGAGAGGCTCAGGGCCGGCTGGCTCCGAGTCGTGCATTCTCTGCGCCACCGTACCCTCGGGCCCGGACTGCGTGGGGCGTTCCAGCGCTCTGCCCGGCTCCTTCACACCAGCCTAGGCATGGGAGACAGTCCCCATTACATCTGCTGGACAGGGGACGCCCACAGATTCCCATCCCAGCAGGCAGCCCAGCTCTGCAGGCCACATGCGCCAGGAAGGGTGGCTCACAGCTCAGAGAGGTCGTTCAGATGGAGCACTGTTTTCCCACCCGAACTTCCAATAAGGAATCTTTTTCAGAACTTCATGCAAATTCTTGCAGCATCTGTTTCCTTCTGAAAGCTCCATATGTAAGTTTGGTTATTACCAAAACAGCACGTGCAACTGCCCTCGGATGCTGGTCAGCAAAAGTAAAATTCGTGATTTCTTCACTTTCTTTCACTGTTTAGGTGAATTGTAAGGAGAGGAGCTTCCCAAGTCGGGCAGCAAACATCACTCTAGGCCTTTGATTCGCAAATCAAGGTGCAGCGGGCACAGCCTCTGCATGGGGCTGGGCCTTGCCGCCCTGGTGCCCTGCAGGAGGACCTGGCCTGGTGGGCCCTCTGTGGTCAGAACCGGAGGAGGAGCCGTGTCCCCAGGTGGGAAACGTGCCGTTCCGCAGACCTTAAGGACCCGCGTTGTAGTTTTTTATAAAGACTCTTCAGTAAAGTCCAAACTGAAGGGGAAACACAGGAGGAAACTCGAGACTGCCTTTGTGTCCACTCCGAAGCCCAGGGGCAGAGCCAAGCGGATGGGACACGGCTGTGCAGCCAGCAGCAGGGCGAGCACTTCCCATGGCCTTCTGCAGAAAGGGCCTGGGTGCTTCCCAGGACTGACAGTCACTGTCTCTGCAAACCCAACGGCAGGGCCGGGGCCCGCCTTCCGTGGTGGGAGCCTGGGGAGGCGCCTGGTTGGTGGGATGTGAGCAGGGGGTTTCCCGGGCCAGCTCCTTCCACCCGGTGACAGGCCAGTGCCAGGGGTTCTGCCACATGGAGCCAAGAGCCCAGCGTGTGGTATGAACACTGACCTGTCTTGGCCTTTGGTTGGTGTTAATACTTGTGCGCTCACTGGGAGCCACGGGGACCAAAGGGCCTCGTCAGCCAGGAGCGCCTGGGAGCCCAGCACCTCCGGAGCTGCCCCGCCAGCCTGTGCTGCTCACGAGCGGGTGCCGGGGTGTGGTGTGGTTTCCTGCAGAAATCAGGCAGGCCTAGAATCTGAAGCTGGCAGCAGCTGGCAGGAAGGACGCCCCTCAGTGCTGGAGGCAGAAATAGGGAGATCCGCAGGGGCTCCCACTGGCGGGGCACAGAGCGCACCACCCCCTCCTCTCAAGAGGAGGCTTCCCACGTGGGTGCCCACACCGCGCAGCCCAACCGATAGGGCGCGGTCCCGCCCTGTCTCCTCCGGGCCTTAGAGCGGCTGCCAAGTGTTCTTGGCCCATTTCCAGGTGAGAAACAGAAGTTTATGTGAAATCATCTGCTCCTGAGGAGCAGGGTTTCTCAAGCCCAGTTTTCTGTTCCAGCCCCAAGGTTCTAAACTGTTCGATGTCCAGGAGGTGTTCACAGGGCCCCGAGGGAGGCCAGACCCCAAGTGGAGGCTCTGCATCTGCACCCCGGGGGTGTGGGGTCATGTCCGTCAGTTCTGGGTGACAGCCCTTTGAGCCAGCGTCGGTGTGAGTGGCCCTGAGCCTGGTGGCCGAGTGTGGACGCCGAGACTCACAGGCACTTTTCTTTTTCACTGTCCGCCGCAGGGCCTGGGATGCTGCCTGGTCTCGACGTGCATATTCCAGTTTCCTATCCCACAGCCATCTCTGCTCCATGTGTCTAACTAAGGAAGACGTTCCCTCTTTGGCCAGGTTTAGTTTCCAGAATATAGCCAGGTGGGATCTGGAATATGTGTCCTGGGGGCAGCGCCCAGCACTCCCCTACCCCGGTAGTGAAATTGGCCGTCACATGTGGATGGGCTGTGGTCTCAGTCTCGGTGGCATTGCGGCCGGCCAGGCTGGGATGGGGCCTCAGCCTTCAGACCCTGGGAACAGCTGTCGACACAGCCAGTGCTTGTCACATGCAGTTGGCTTCCGTTAAACACAGGACAGAGAGCATGGTCACCAGGTCTTGACGGCACCAGGGGGGACAGGGCAGGGGAGGGAGCCGGCAGGGTGGCCCTGTGCCAGAGGGGATCCCAGAGCACCCTGCCTGGTCCTCCAGGTGACACCAACCAGAAGGGCCAGGGAGACTAGCGGGGGGCAGGTGGGAAGGGGAGAGGTTCTGCAGAGGTCAGTCAGCTCTCCACAGGGATGAAGTGAGTGGGAGCCTCCACTGGCCTTCAAGGTCACCACAGTCTTATTTTATGAGCTTTACTTAAACCACAGCCATCAATTTTGTTTCTTGTATTCATCACGTCTAGAAAGAGGGTGTCACCTTTTCATCTTCATGATGAGGCAGACCCCGTCCTCCCACTGCATCTGGGAGTCAGGCAGGGCTGGGTCAGGAAAGGCCTCAGGGAGCGCCAGTGGCTGTGTTCCTGTGGGCAGGAGGGGGCCGTCAGGGTTCCAGACCCGCGGAGAGCTAGAGGGGGCTGTCCGGGGGGGCTGGTGTGGACGCGGGGTGGGAGGGGGTAGGGCGGGTCACCGCTTTTATCCCAACAATTTTCACAGTGATCTGGGATTACCATCCTCAGACAGGAGGCCATCTTAGATGAGATGGCTCCTACCACAAAGCTCCCAAACCATATTCCTGTTCTCTTGGTCTTCATTTTCAACCAAAACCTACCACAGAGGCTGCTCTGACTATATGTTAATGCCCCTTTTTCCCAGCAATGTGGAAATACAGCATCTCTGGCCATGTGGAAAACCCCACAGTACTCACCTGGCTGGCCTGGACCCGGGCTGTGTCCCCCCCAGGCGAGGCGTCCTGTCAGGCTGGGCAGCTGCCTTCTCTTGGTGTTTCCCGGGACAGGGAAGCATTGTAGGCTGGGGCCCTGGGCCCTCTGGCCGACACTCAGGAAGGACCCTGGGGCACTGGAAGGTCAGGCCATTTGCCAGCCATTGAGCGCATCTCAGCGGCCAGTTTTGTTTAAAAGAGGAAACAACTGAGTTGTCGTGTAGTTCTTTGTTTCCCTGGTGCGCGTCAGAAGCAGCATGGCTTCGGGGAGAAACTGGCGGACTCCGGCTGTGGTCCTAACTCTCTGCCTGGCTCTTTCTTCTTACCCGCTTTTTTGAAAATTTCTAAACCAATCGGAGCCTTAGGTCTGCGACCAAAAATAGGATGGAAGTGATGCCTGGGTTCTTGTTTGTGGAGTCGAAGAATGAACTTAGCAAACACCCAAGGTAGGCGAGCCAGGGAGGGGCTTTTATTGAGAGAGAAAATGAGAGGACAGAGCTCCTGGCTCACAGCAGGAGGGAACGAGAGCCCGAAGCTGTGCGCTGTCTAGGGGTTTTATAGGCAGTTGAGGATTTGGGGGAACGAGATAAGAGGCTCAAGGGTGTGGACTTGTTAAGTGGTCCCTGAATATTTAAAATTAACTTAATACAAGAAATTTACTGCTCTGATTTCTCCCCGAGATACCAGCATCTTGGTCTGGTAGCATATCCAGCAAGACCGCCTGCCCAGCCCCCAAGGTGGGCTGAGGTATTGTCTGTTTGCTAAAGAGTGAGTGAAGAATCTTACTTTTTAACTTTCTGGGTATTAAAATGCAATCTTACTTTTAAGATGGAATCCTTCCTGCCTCTTACTGTGTTGTTTATGGCCGGGCCTGCTTGCCATTATTAATTGCCCAGATTGCAAATCACCTCATCAGATCTGAAGGAGGAAAGACAGCACCTAGCACGCATGATCACAAACACTCAGCATAATGAGAGCATAGGCTCCTTTCGTTTATCTGGGGAACGGTGACTGATCTCACGGAGGAAAGGCTCCAGAGCTTAATGTTCAACACAGAGCTTTGGTAGGGGGTTTCCTTGCATGTAGGTACATTGCTCTGACTGCAAATATCCTGCCTTGCTGTTTCCGGAGGCCCCCACCCTGCTCTGACTACACCCACGGTCCCTGACTCAGAGGGACACACCCTGCAGGCTGTCCAGGGCCCCTGGGCTCCAGAAGGAAGCGTCCTGCATGGAGACGGGGGCTACGGCCGTCGGTTCTGGGACAGGCCTGCAGGCGCCTGGCTTCAGATCAGCTTGGAGGAGGGCCATGACTCGGCAGCGGGAGCTCCGTGTCTGGGGCCGCCCCTCCGTGCCGTGCTGCTCAGGTCGTGGCACGTGGCTCTCGCTGCCTTTCAGGGTGTCACCAGACCTGAGTGTGGGGGGCCCGGACTTCACTACAGCTGTGTACAGAGCCTGCATCTTGGAACCATGAGCAGCAGGGTGCTGTGGCCCCACCTCTGCCCACCCGGGCCCTGCTCTCCCCGGTGTGGCGCACAGGCCTTCATGGCATGCCTCGGAACTAGCCTAAACCCGAAGTTGCTCAGCATCCTAGAATCTGGAATCGGACAGGGGCCGAGAGCTCACATGGTCTTCATCGCCACCACCGTGAGGGACCTCCCAGAGCCACTGGTCCGGACGCAGACGCTGAGGCCTGGTGTGCGGGCTTTGTGGCCTCCCAAGGTGACTGCATGTGAGAGAGTCTTGACAGAGGCAGTTGAGCTAGAGCAGGGTCACTCGGGAGGGTCCAGTCCTGGTGGGCCGGCTCTGAAGCATTTTGCTGGAAACGCATCACCAAGGAAGCTGCCCTCCACACTCCGCACGGCAGCGCTGGCAGGCCTTCCAGACCTCGAAGCCAACCCACTCCCCCGGGCATGGCACAGTGCAGCATGGGTCTAGGGCTGCTCGAGTCCCTGTGTCCTCCGACTGTCCTGGCTTGTCCCCATGGCTCAGAGTGTGGGGCCCAGACACGGGTGCTGTGTTCCTGCGATCTGTGCCGTGCACATTACATCACGTGCTCCTGTAGCCCCGTGGGGCAGACGCCCAGCACAAAGGAGACTGTGAAGGCTGACCACACAGGCCGCCCACCCTGTGGACGCAGCCCCCGGCAGTGGCCCTGGGCCTGTGCGGAGTGGTGCCCATGCCCGTTTTCGGGAGGGGCTATAGGGCCTTCGGCTCTGAGCTCTGGCACCGGGAGAGGCTGGGTGCGGTGCTGTCGGCCTGCCACCGGGACGCCCCCCGCCGCTGGGACACGGCCCCCAGCCGGCTCCTCGCCCCACCCCAAGTCCGGGCGTCTGGTCTGACTGCAACACTTTCTGATTTGTGAATCTGCTTTTTTTAAACCCCATGCAGAGTCTATACAAAACGAATTGCTTTTAGTTTTACAAGTTTTATAAAGAATGTTTCTTGAAGTTGCAGTCATTGCAGACAACCCAATCTGTGGTGTTCGTCCTGGCCCTGATCTGAGACAGGAGTGGGCAGAACTGGGGTCCCCACACCGTGACCTAGGGCTTCCCCCAGCCCCTGATGAGCGGGGCGAAGGCCGGCTACATTCGAAGCTCCATCCCACAAGCGGGATGACAAGCAGGCGAATCCCAGACCATCTAAATGTCAGAGAAGGAAGATCTGAGCAGTCGTCAGTTTAGCCGTGGGGCCCAGCAGCTCCTCAGGGAGGGTCCCGTGGACTGATGGCTCAGACTGCCCCCCAACGCCCTTCGCGCTCTGGGTGGGCTGTTGCTTAGGCTTGAGGTGGCTGTTCTTCAGCACGGCTGTGTCCTGCCCATGTGGGGACGGTGGCAGCCTGTCTCCTTGCCGTGGGCCCCCGCTGCAGCGGTCCCAGGGACCATGCAGACTGAGTGCATGTCCGATGAACCCGCTCAGCCACAGGACTTGCTCCTGGAGGAACCGGGCTGTCTGACTCGGCGAGCTTTGCTCACGTGTGTGGACACTGCTGGGTCCACCTTCCTGACCCCGTCTTCTATCCCGTCGACATGCTGTATTCACAGCGTGTTACCGGCAGTGTCTGCCCACTCGCTCATCCCAAGGACCTGGAGAGGGTTGCTGAGTGAGGGCATGTTTTCCTCTTGAGTGGACAGGCAGACATAAGTGTCATCCTGTGTGACTGACTTATGCTCAGCCTATCCAACTGCTCCGTGGGCCATCCCTGCACTGTTATCAAGGGCCCCACAGAGACTGCAGGGGGGGTCACAGACGGGTGATGTGTGTGCGGGGGTCCATTTCACTCCCTAACCCGGCCGTGGGGTTACAGTTCCTGGGGTACCAGCTTAGTAGGCCACCATGTGGGCATTCCGCTGCAACCTGAGGGCACCTGGAGTCAGTGGGGGCTACCCAGGGCCACTCCAGGTCTCTGAGCTGGTTCCCGAGGGAGGGATCGTGGCGGCTCTGAGCGACACTGAGGGCCGGCGGTGAGCACTCACACAGGTCCTGGGGCCGCCCCAGGAAGTCCTCAGCTAGTGTTCGACTCATTAGTATGTGAGTGTGTCAGTTTGGGTTTTTTACTCCAAAAGGTTAAATTCAGAGGAGCAGTTAACTAAAGTAAACAGCTAAAGGGCCAGAGATAGAAATTATGCTCTCCATTCTTAACTATCTTTGTTTACCAATTGCTTCAAAACTAATAAAACAGGGATCTAAAAACAGTAGAACTTCAGAGCTGCTCTCCTCCTCGCAGGAATGGGCGCCTGGCAGAGGAGCCGCCTTGGAAGCCCGGACGGCCTCCCCTGCTTTCTCTTCTGCCCTGGATCAGACGTGTCTCCTTAGACTGAGCATGAAGTGTGCGCGCCGGGGGTGTCACCGCCCTGTGGCCGTGCTCGGCGTGTAGACAGTCGCAGCCTGAAGGCCCCCCTTACCCTGTCCCTGCTTTCCCTCCTGTCGGTTCCGTCCCGGTGTCCCCAGAGTAGCCAGGAGGACTGTGTCCCAGAATCAGCTCCGTCCAGGCCGGGGGCCCTGCTTCTGGGGTCCATGCAGGCAGGCTTCTGGTCAGGAGAGCAGACACTCAGCAGGGCAGGGGGTTCTCACCTCTCTTCTATGTTTGTCTCTTTTAATTGTTATTATTGAGGTAAATTTCACAAATATTAAACTGACCATTTTCAGGTGTCCAATTCAGGCACATTTAGTGGGCTCACAATGTGCAGCCAGCACCTCAGTGGGCCCTGAATGTTCTCAAGCCCCCAAAGCTTACCCTGTGCCCGCCAATTCTTTCCTAAATGGGGCGGAATGTGGGCACTCCACCGCTGCACCACGCTGTCCCTGCATCGCCCCAAGAGTGGGGCCTGGGGCTCTTGTCTCCTAGCCTGTGGGAAGCAGACACCTGGCAGGTAGCCCTGTGCGCCCCCCAGGCAGGCTGTGCCAGTGGAGCCAGCCTCCCAAATGGACGTGCCAGGAGCCTCAGGCAGTGGCCTCCCCAGTGACCTGGGGCTGCCCCCAAGCCCCGCTGAGTGGGCAGCGTGTCCTCCAGCCCCTTACACAACTGAACGCCAGGCGTATCAGGCAGAGGGAAAGCAGAGTGTTTGGGGCTGGGCTCTGCCCATGGCTCTCTGGCAGAAGGACAGAGGCCACATGCCTCCCCTGTCCTCCAGAGGGCACCTCTCCCGCCTAGTGGCCAGGCTGAAAGGCCTGCAGCCTCGTCACCATAGCAGATGCCTTTCTGGCGTGTTGGGTATTTCTTCCTGCCTGGGGTCAGACGCATCACGGCAGGGAGACTGCACTCCAGAGGTGAAGACTGTCCTCCCCCTTGTGTGGAGCTTACTCGTGGGCAGACGTGATAGCAATAAGGCATGAGCATGGGCTCATATGGTCTGGGGTAGAGGAGAGAGCGGCAGGTCAGGCAGGCGCCATGCCACGGCGGCAGGAGCCACAGTGTCCTGCCAGTGCTGGCAGTGTGATGGCCTCGCGGTGCACGTCCACCACGGTCAGGACTCAGGGCACAGTGGGGCCTGCTGCCAGTTCAGGGGAATGGGCTGTGTCTGGAAGGACCCCACTGTTGGCTGTGTTGAGCTCGGGCCGTGTGGCAGCCGGGGCCCTGCTGGGAGGTGCCAGGGTCATGGGAGCAGGTCGGTGGCCCCGGCCGGCGCTGAACTGCCCTGAGGCCTGGCATGTATCAGAGTGGGGCGAGAGGCGGGGGTGATCAGGATTCCAGGGCTTGCCCCCACGCCGCCTGGGCAGAGCTGCGGCTGGCGGAGGAAGCTGTCATCGGTGATGGGGGTGGTACAGGACCAGGGTCCGGTTATACCAGTTAGACACACAGTCAGAGACCTCAAGTAGCATGTACGCCGTCCGTCTGAGGTTCGAAAGAAGAGCGGGGACTTGGAGGGAAGTCCATAGACTTAAGAGGAAGAGTGGAGAAGAGCAGGTGAATGTTTCCACGTCCAACCCATGGAGCCAGGAGAACAGACGCCCAAAGAAAGTAGAAAGAAGCCACAGGCAGAAGCCGCAGCTGGTGCGGTGCAGAGGCAGGCGGCAGACACCTCAGCAGAAGGGCCCATCGCCTTGGAAGCGACAGGCAGGAGAGGGCATTTGCCACCCACAGGGTCCAAGAGCATGAGAGCATGTGCACTGGGCGTGGGAAGCCCAGACGTGTGTCGGTGAGGACTGGGGAAACTGCCCCTGTCCGCAGGCTGCAGGTGAGGCTCTCATGGAGGTGCTTCCGTCTCGCCTGCGCACGAGGACACCCGGAAATGTCGGATGTGGTGCCGTTCCCAGTCAGGGAGTAGCTAAGGTAACCGGTTCCATCCCAAATGTACTGTTACGCAGAGGCTGAAATGAACCAGATCTATCTGTTGGGTCAGATAAATCCTCAAGATCAAAGGAAAAGTGCAAGTCGCTAGAAAATATGTCCCATTTATAATCAGTGACGTAGTTTGGAATGTTTCGGGCGTGCTCGAGGTCTGGGGACCATGCTCCTGTGGGGGACACGCGGGGGCTGGAGTAGGAGGACGCCCTCCATCTGCAGGTTTATTCAGGGACACTGTTCTTTCTGTATGATTAAAATATTTATGATGAAACCTTTTAAAAGTAAACCTTATTAAACAGAGTCCCTCTGGTGAGATCTTAGTGCTGCCTTCAGGAACGCTGCGGTCACCTGCTTCCTCGTCCGGTCCCAGCGCGGGGAGGGCGGCCCTTGTCTCTCTCGCCCCGCCATCTGGGCTCAGCCCCCTGCTCTGTGAGGTGGCAGCTGCAGAGCTGCAGGCCTGAGCTGGGACACGGCCCCAAGGAACTCACACCTCCCTGCCCCTGACCCTATGCGAAGTCTCCAGGGCTGCCCACTGTGCTGTGTTCTAGAAGGCGGGTGTCTGGGACAAACAGTCCCAGGGTCGAACTCTCCCTCCAGCAGATGCCCGGGTACAGCAGGGATCTGGGGAAGGCCCTGACTTGTTGGCCGGCCCCGGACTGGGGTGTGCCGGGAGCCAGCCCAGGGTCCCCGACGGTGTGGATGCGGTGGTGCTCCGTGGCACCAGCTGAGTACTGTATGGCTCCTAAGGTGACGCCATGTCCATCTGTGTCCCCAGGAGCCGGGATGGTGGTGGACTGGGAGCAGGAGACGGGACTCCTCATGAGCTCGGGGGATGTGCGGATCGTCCGGATCTGGGACACAGACCGGGAGATGAAAGTGCAGGTAACCCGCCCCTGTGGGCCGCCCGCCCTCCCAGCTCTGCCGCCCCGCACACAGCAGGCCCTGCACTCGTCCTGGGGAACCCAGGAAGGTCACTGAGCACAACCGTGCCTGATCCCCTCCAGCTCGGGCAGGAAGCCGCGTCTGAAGCAGCGGCACAGACTCGCGCAGCCTTTAGAAACAGACTGCCTCTGGATGCATGCTCACCGGGACACTTGGGCCCCGCGTTGTGGCGTGACTAGGCCCCTGCTGACCCTAATCACTTCCACTCACATTGTATCCGTGCAAATTAGAGGACGCCAGAAGGCGGGAGGGTGAAACATATCAGAGGGATTATTTGGCTGCATGCTTCTTAAAGCATCTTTTATTGTTTTAATAAGAGAGGGAATAACTGGCTTCGCCTCAAGCACCCTGGAAGGTCAACAGAGAGAGGGCCAAGGGCTTGTCGGCTGGAAACTGAACTTGGCTGACTGTGTTTGGCGCTGGGGCTGCAGATGCTGTAGGAGGCCATGCTGGCACTGCGCCCTCTGCTCCAGGCTCCCAGGGTCCTAGGGAGAGCTGCCTGGTAGGAGACTGAGGCCACCTGCCATCCTGCCCTGCACCTCTCGCCATGTCCTGGGTCAGATGGAGGGGCAGGCCTGTGCTCCCCCACGGAGCCGAAAGGTCACGGCTTGGGGAGCAGACATGGGGCCAGGGTGCAGCCGTCACTACTGCTCTGTCCATCCGGCGTCCAGCAAGTACGGTGGACTCACATCACACTCCTTTCTGGGAAACAGGCCAGTGGCCACACAGCCCTCCCTGCAAGCTGGACGCCCTGATGCACGGGTCACTTCTCTGGGCATCAGCAACTGCCAGCAGCTTCTTGTCCCAGAAGCACCTTGGTCTGGCCTGGGGTCTCACCCCTGGCCCTGCCCACCCCCTGAGCAGCAGTGTTCCCAGAGGTGTGGCTGAGGCCCCTTGTAAATGGCCCGACTGCAGTCTCCGTGTGTGCTGGCCCACCTCCGCGGGCGGCCCAAGGGCAGCCACCCTCTGTGGGAAGCACTCTCCCTCGTGGCCCGTTTTGTCTCCTGCCCTTTCCCGAGGAGCACCCCTCACTCCTGCCCTTCTCCAGCATTTACCAGCACCAGGAGCCGAGGCGAGGGCCTGCTTCCCAGGCGGCAGAACCTCCTAGACCCCTTCCTGAGCTGACTGGGGCCTTTAAGGACGAGCCAGAGTGGATTCCCCGCCGGGACTGCTTTTCCTCCTTAGGACAAAGGGAACCGCAAGGTGACCTCGTGTGGAAGGGCAGTCGTGACCCCGGACTTTGCTGGCCGTGGCCCGGGACCACAGGCCCTGCCTTCCAGCCGTCACTCGGGACATGGGCCTGGCTCGGTGCCCCAGGCCCCACCAGGGTGAAGGACTCGCTGCTGGGGCTCCACCGGCCCCCAGCAGCTGTTGGTGGCCCGGCACTACAAGGCCTCACTAGTCTCTGTGTCTGGCCCTAGGATATCCCCACGGGTGCTGACAGCTGCGTGACCAGCCTGTCCTGTGACTCCCACCGCTCCCTCATCGTGGCCGGCCTGGGCGATGGCTCCATCCGCGTCTACGACAGAAGGATGGCGCTCAGCGAATGGTAACTGAGCCACACAGCCGCCCAGTACCAGGCACGGGCACCCTGCAGATGGCAGTGGTTGCCCTGACCGGCTGGAGTGAGCCCCTCAAAGCCTGCTGGGCGCCCAGGTCCCATTCCCATGGCTTGTAGACGAGTGTGGCTCCCCCACAGCCATGGATGTGCCGTTTGGAACATGCTCATGGCTAGCAAGTGGGGAGCCAGCAGCTTGGGGTCCTGGCACGGCACCTGAACGCCCCCAGGCTGTCACCCCAGCCTGCCTGGCTGTGCAGGTGAACCAGGAGAGCCGGTGGCAGAGAGCACGCACGGGCACTGTACCGTGCTGAGCAACAAGCGTGCCCGGCTGCTCCGGGCCCCACATCTCAGCCCAGAGGCCAAGGGCTGGGTGGGGCCGGGGGGGCAGGTGCTGTCCCCTGTGTGGGCAGGTGAGCCGAGGGCCAGGCAGCAGTCTCCTGCCTGAGGCCCCACAGCTGGTAAAGGCAGAGCGTGACCCCACCTTCTCCCCTGCAGCCGCGTCATGACCTACCGGGAGCACACAGCCTGGGTGGTCAAGGCCTACCTCCAGAAGCACCCCGAGGGCCACATCATGAGTGTGAGGTAATGAGCTCAGGATATTTATGAGACATTTTGCTGTAAAAACATTATTTTCCCTCCATTTAAAATATGTCTTGGTATTTAAACAGCTGACAAATGATAGCATTTCAGGGCAGTAATTAACTTCTGTTCTGGGACAGGCCAGCACAAGGCCAGGGACAGACACACGGGTCCTCCTGCCGGAGTGCTGCCTGCAGTGATGGGCAGAGGTAGGCCGGCAACCTCAGGGCCTCTGTGGCGGAGGCGGGCAGCGGCCTCTGCCGGGCGTGTTGCTCTGGAGAACCCGTGTGGAGCTTTCGCTTGCTCATAAATCCATCTCTGCTCCTGGTACATCCGTGCTGAGAGCAGCAAGGGTTTATTTGCCCATTAAAGGGACAGCAACCCTGATTTACTGTCACAAGCCGCCATTCCGTCAGAGACGCTCCTTCCTTTGTTCGTAATATGAAAATAGAACATCACTCTTAGAACAAGTCCCATCAGAGACCGAGGGCAGCAGGAATGGCCTTTGGGGGTGGCAGCAGCTCCCAGGCCTCCCCTCCCCTCCCCTCCTGACCTGCATCGCCAACTGCAGAAATCTAGTCTCGAGACTGGGAATCAAACCGCTAAGTCACATCCCCACTGCAGGCTTCATGGCCTCGTGGCAGGGCCCTCTCAGCCTCAGGTTGCTGGCATCTGTGGGGTGGGCTCATACCCTGCCAGGGGCCTCCCTGGCACTCTGAAGGTCCAGGCAGCCTCGGCCTTGTGCTGTGCGGCCCAGCATCACCGTGACTCCCCCTCGGCAGTGTCAATGGGGATGTGCGCTTCTTTGACCCTCGCATGCCCGAGTCTGTGAACGTCCTTCAGATCGTGAAGGGGCTCACGGCCCTCGACATCCATCCCCAGGCCAACCTCATCGCATGGTAGGTGCCAACCGTCCTCTCCACCCCCAGAAAGAAATGAGGGGCCTCCCCTGCCCCGAGTATCCCAGAGGGCCCACAGTCAGCTCGGGCACCGGGCAGGCAGCAGGCACCACCCCATGCCCGAGTGGGGAGCAGGCTGGAGCAGTCCACTGCAGCCTGTGGGGCCCTTTGCTGCTGGTCACTTGCCTGGCCTCCAGGCTGACAAGGCTGGGAGGCCCCTGAGTCTGGGACCTGTGCTGATCACCCCGCCGCTCCCCAAGGGAGTAGGAGCTAACAGCCACCCCCTGCCCACAGTGGCTCCATGAACCAGTTCACGGCCATCTACAGCGGCAGCGGCGAGCTCGTCAACAGCATCAAATACTATGATGGCTTCATGGGCCAGCGGGTCGGCGCCATCAGCTGCCTGGCCTTCCACCCGCACTGGGTCTGTCTGCTGGGCTGGGCGTGGGTGCAGGGTAGTGGCCCCCAGGGTAGGGCTGATCCGGGGCCTCTCCCAACCTCCACCCCAAAGGCTACCGCTGGAGAGACCCTAGGTGTGTGGGACACGTACATGTCCTCCCTGTCCTTAATTTAAGCACAGCAGCCTAGGTGGCTGTGGGCTGGTGCATTTTAAATGTGGATTTGGCCAGCCTTCCTTCTGCGGCAGGGCCTCCACAGGGCATTCGGCTCCCCGGGACCCGATCACGGAGGGAGAAAACCAGGGAACCATGGGTAGCATCGAGTTCTGGGGTGGACCAGAGTGCCAGCTCTGTGGGGAGCCGCTGCCCACCTGCCCAGCAGGGGTGGGAGCTCCGGGCCGCGGCTCCGCCACTCACCGGCCCTCTCGCCCGCAGCCGCACCTGGCCGTGGGGAGCAACGACTACTACATCTCCGTGTACTCTGTGGAGAAGCGCGTCAGATAGCGGGCACCCCAGCCCACCGCCACCGTGTACATAGTGGGCCCGCCACGCTGCCCAGGGCCCGAGGACGCCCCGCCATCTGTCTGTCTGTCTGCGCTGTCCCGCCCAGGAGCCAGGGCAGGAGCTCCAAGGGTCCCGGGTGTGACAGTTGCTTCTCTGCTGAGACACAGCTTCGGGGCCGGAGGACATAGTCCCAGTGCCCCTCCCACCCTCTTTTTCTCCTGAGGTCCTTAAAAGGGGGAAACACTCCTTTTATTTCCCCAGTGATCCAAGCATTAGCTCCATAGAAGCTCCGAGACGGAGCCACCGGGCCACGTGGAGGTGCAGCCGGCTCGTGGGGAAGGAGGCAACTGGGCACCCGTGCCGCCAAACCGCGGCTTGCCCGCCCCCCACGGCACGACTTTGGATTCGAGCGTCGGCCCCTCTTACCCCAGATCCACTACCAGCCGGGGCCTGGGGCTTTGGGCAGGTGAGGCTGGCCTGTGGCTGTCTGGCCGCTGCCTGTGGCCACAGGGCTCACTCTCCACAGGGCTCCTCCGCAGCCCCACAGCCTCCCCCGTTCCCGTACAGTGGAGCGCACACTGGTGTGCCCCATGGCCTCCCCGTCTGTGCTTGCACATGCGTCACACGTGTGCCATGTGGAGAGCAGGTGAGCCCGAAAGCACCTGTGGGTAACCTTGGCCATGTCCAGCCCTGTGCCCCACACACTGTGCAGCTCACGTTTGGGTCTCATCATGAGCGACGCAGGAGAGTTCCTGGCGGTGGCTTTAGCGATGTTGGGCGTCAGTATGTACCAGTGTGCGGCGGGGGGGGGGGGCCCCGGGATAGGCCGGCCCCAGGAGGGGCTGCAGAGCGTGCTGAGCCAGCACAGACAGGCCTCTTGGGAAACAAAACACAACCACAATTATGATATTTTAAAAAGCATTTTTCATTTTCCTTGGGAATCAGGACTATTCAGGTAACTGAGTGAGCTGCTTACCTGGTTCTCCTGACAACGGGCTGGGCAGAGGGCTGTGGGAGAGCGGACCCCACGCTGCAGGTGGCGCCCCATCCCATGCATGGCCACAGGGGGCGCGGCCTGGCCAACAGGCAGGAATCTGCATGGGTAGATGCACGGGACGTCCGTGCCCCCAGCCAGGAGGACCCTGGGCCAGATTCCAGCCCCACCGTTCTGGGTGAGCAGGTGGCTGGGGCCAGGAAGGCCACGGAGAGCCTGGCTCCCCCAGCCGCCTGCCGGCCCCGCCCTGCGGGCCGGGCGGACGCCAGAATCTTCCTGAAGCTGAACCCCACCCAGGCACTAAGAGCGTCCGACCCACACCCAGCTGACTTGCGGAGTGACTCACTCCACGCTCTAAGTTCATGTGCGATTCCGTTTGCTTTGAGACCAGCCCGCAACGAGGCTGTGTCTTCACAGATCCGATGCGAAGATCCAATCATGAGGTTGACTGAGGCTCGAGAGAGCACGGCCTAAAGATTCATTTATCTCTATTTATTTTACAAAATAATAATTGAAAAAGACAAGGCAACACGGGATTGTGATGTGAAAGCAGGAACAATGACAGACGAGCTGTTAATAAATTACACAAATGCGGAGCTGACTGTCCAACAGCTTTGTTTTAGGAACCAGCACAGGCCTCATGCCCCATGTGCACAGCAAGGGGCTCCACGCGGGCCCACCTGGTGCGCTTGGCAAGGACAGGCCTCCATCCTCAGGTGCCACCCCCACCCTGTGACTTAGTTGGTCTGAGAAAAGGCCTTCAACTGGGGGTCAAACCTACACAGCGAAAGAGCCCAGACAGGACTCCCGCTGCTGCTGCTTAAGTGACACGCGCCGCCTCACCTTTGGAGGTCGGACGCGAGCCTCCGTGGGGCCGGCTGTGGGCGTCCCGCCCTGGGTCAGGTCTGCCTCCCCAGCGTCTGCAGCTTCCTGGGGCCCCTTTCCCATCTGCAAAGGCAGTGCAAGGCTCACTCTGACCCCGGCCTGGGAAGGGGCTGTGTGGCCCACCTGGTGGCCTTCAGGACTGTGTGTCCTGAGCAGGACTCCTACCTTCCTGCTGCACAGTCCCTCCCGCCGTTTCTGAAAGGGCTTGTTTCGTGGCGGGACTCTGCAGCCCTGGGCCCCACCAACTTCATGACGCTTCCCGAAGAGGGTGGGAATGTTTCCGAAGACACTGGCCGGGGGAGATGAGGGCCCTGGATCATTCCTTGGGGGTGTGGCTTCCTGGAGAGGGCCTGGGGACAGGTGCCCGTCACCCTCCTGAAACGGAAATGGGTCCCAGGCATTAAGTGACTCGCACAAAGACATACACATTGGGTAGTGGCAGGAACTGGGATCCCAGCTCAGGCCTCTGGACCCCAAGGTCCTGCACAAAGACCTCCATCCCCCAGGGGGGTGCCGGGCAGGCAGCTCCTGAGGAAATGCCAATGCAAACCTAGAGGAAGTGGGCCGGTCTCAGGAATGTTGCCGGTGCTGTGGCGCATGACAGGGAGATGCCACGTACACGTCCCGAGGCTGGTGGGCGCTTGGCGGGTGGTTCCAGCAGAAACACAGGCATCGGGGCTGCACAGGGCCTGGCCCCCAGCAAAGGCAGGAAGGCTGTGGAGGTGCCAGACAGTGTCCCCAGGTGCGCAGGAACTGTCCCGGCTGCAGGATGGGGGGTGGTCACCAGGGCTTGCGTGTGGAGGCCAGTGCACTGTTGGGGCCTCGGTGGACAGGCGGCACCAGGGGACAGACAGGGCCAGGGCTTGGGAACCGCACGGGCCTCTCCCCCTGGGTCCCCATGTTAACGAGCCCCAGGTCAGCCTCTGTGGCTGCAGCAGCAACCGTCCCAGCCACATGGGCCAGGAAACAAATCACTGTCCCTGCTCGAGGGGGCCCCAGGAGGTGCCACCAGGCTACACCAGGATTTGCAAGTTCCTGATGAGGCGCCAGCAAAGGAGCTGTGGCCTGGCATTCCGACTTCTAGAATGTGTCATCCAACTTAGCTCGTGGCCCCTCCTCCCCTTCAAAGCTGGCGATGCCAGGTGGGGTGCTCACAGCCCATACCGGGGCTGACTCTCTGCCTGTTGCCCTTTAAGGACCTTACGACAACCCAGGGCCGTGCACGATCCATCCTGACCAGTGTCACTGGTGCACAGGCCCGCTGCATCAGCCGCCCCAGCCCCCTTTGCTATGTGACCGCGCTCAGTCGCAGCTCCCAGGATTAGGGCTTGGGCATTTTGGGGGCTTTATTCTGCCAAGCACTCCCTCTGTCTACAAGGCACAGGAAAAAGACCTCCCACAAAGCAGGGTCCCAAATGCCCATGGGGTGGGGTCCTCAGCCAAACCACGGTTGGTGGGCCAAGCAACAGAAGACAGCTACCAGGGTCTGGGTGTGGGGCGGAGTGGGGAGGGCATGCTGCACCGCGGCTCCGCTGCCAGCCCACTCCAAGGTGGGGAGGGGAGCTGTCGCTATGGAAACCGGGGGTCTGAATGGCTGGCTGGAAGTCCTGGATAAATTGGGTCTGTTTTAAACAAGAAGGATGCCCGGCATTTACGCGACTGTGCCCGACAGAGTCGGCAGAGAGGGTAATATTATTCCTATCACCATCAATTTTTCTGTCACCAGGACTAGAGTACAAATAAGTGCTCATAAAAATGAAAAATGGACACGTGGTGGGAGCGGGCTGTCAGGGAGACGCCAGGGGCCACACCAGGCCAACTTGCCTCCAGGACTGTCCCTGCACCCCCGCTAAGGGGCAGGAGGAAGCCCAGCACCCCACAGGGATGGCATGGGGAGGGGCAGCCACTGCCTTGCAAGGGGGCATCAGACTGGACTGCTGAGAGGCCCTGCCCTGGGCGGCCCCTGTGCCCATCTGAGGAGCCCCCAGGACTGTGCCCGCCTGGTGCTGCCATGCCCCTCAGGGCCTGGAGGCACCAGGAGTCCCGCAGCAAAGATGTGCTCCTGGTGATGCGGCCCAGCGGCCACGTGCCCCTGCACCTGTGGGCAGGTGCCCTCCGTGGCCAGTCCAGCCTCAGCAAGGCCCGTAGAGCAGTGCTGGAGGGGGGATGAGACAGGGCTGGGGACCACCGGGGCCCTGCTGGGTATAGGCTGCTTCTCTCAGGGAGTGGACGCGGAGGGGCCCTCGTGAGTCCTTGGTCCTGGCAGGTGACCTCACAAGCGGCTGGGGCTGGTCCACCCTCTCTCCTTCACTCCCGCGCCAACTGTTCCTGGGTGGTGCTTGGGGCATCCCATCCACTTCTGCTCCTCAGCAGCATCGGCCAGAAGAGAGGAGGCCCCTGGGAATCAGTCCCACCCCAGGACCTGCTTCCTGGGGTGAAGGTCCCTTTTCGCTCCGCCTTGCAGGACTCAGCCTTTTCCACCTGTGGGCATGACCTTCACGACCCAAGACGGGCCAAGGATGTGCCCTGCCCTCCCCACCCGCCTTCCCAGCAAGCCTGCACATCCTGGGGAGGGCCGCCTCTGAGACCCCCGCCTGCCACTCCCCGGGCCCATGGAGGGAGCCGAGGTGGGTGGCATCCCCTCTGGTCCAGTAGAACCATCCAGAACCCTGGCCATGCCACATCTTTATGAGGAGAGTTTCTTCCTTCTCTCAAGGTGTCCGGCTCCTGCCAGCCCCGCCCTGTGGTCCAAACCAGCCCCTGGGCAGGTATAGCCATGTCCCTGGATGCTTTGAGGCCCAGCCCCTTCCAGGCTGTGGCCAGGAGGGTAGGGGGGTGGGTCAAGCAGTTTCTGCTGCCCCCGGGACAGGGACCCACCTCTTCATTCCTTGGGGCTGGCCACGGCTGCAGCCTCCTCTAGACATCCCAAGGCCTCAGCTGGCAGGGCACCCACGGCCAGCGCTGGGCCTCTGTGCGCAGGGGCTGGCATCGCCAGGATCAGCAGCGTCACAGAGCAGACGCCACCCTGACAGCCAGGAGAGCCTTCGGGGCCCTGCATCCTGTCACCGCCAGGCACCAGGTGAGGGGTGGAGTTTGGGAGGCAGAGGGCCGTCTCCCTGGTGCTACAGGAGCTTCTCCTAGGCTCTCCCTTAACAGTGTTTGCCACACCCGAGCTGGGAGGTAGGGTCACGGGGTGAGATGCAGGGGCTGGGAGGCTTCTCCCCAGAGTCTCAGCCCAAGGGGCCTCCAGCGAGTCTGGCCAGCTGGTCAGCCCAGAAAACAGCAGCCCCAGGCCCCAACAGGGCCCTACAATGTGCAGGTGAGACAAGCCACCGAGAATCCAGGGTCCAGGGGAGGAGTCGGTTTACAGACCCCTGCGCAGGCCCACTGCAGGCAGGACACCTGGGAGGGACGTGGGATGAGCACCAGGGCGTGCGGGGCACTGGCCAGGCTGTGTCCCAAGAAGGAGGGACCTAGGGGCTAGGGCGGCCCCCCAGCCTGCACTCTGAGCCCACTCCCCCGACGGGCAGGCCCAGACTGGGCACCTCCGGCAACCAGCAGGCTGGGAGGGGACCCCACGCACAGGTTGCGGCCTTGGGGCCCTGTGGGGAGTGATGAGCCCAGCTCCGCAGGGGAGGGCAGCAGAGGCCAGCAGTGACACAGCCAGGACACTAGGACCCATGTGGGGTTTTCTTTCTCTTCTGCTATTTACCAGACTTCGTAGACTGGGGAAAAACAACACACCAACAGTGAACATCGGGAAAGGAAATCTGGCCGATTCTATTCACAACAGCATCAAAAAGAAAAAAATACCCAGCAACAAATTTAAAAAAGGAGGTGAAAGACCTGGACACCCACTGCAAATGTAGCTGAAAGTAATCAGAGAAGACCTATAAACAGAGACGGGAAATCATCTTCCAACAAGTGGTGCCGGGACAGCCGGACTCTGACCTCACACCATATATGGAAACAAACTCGAAATGGGTCAACAACCTCAATCTAAGAGCTAGAAACTAAGCAGAAACTATAGAACTCCTAGAAAGAACTACAAGGGAAAATCTTCCTCACCTTGAGCTTGGTAGTGGAGTTGAGATGTGACACCTGAAGTGCATCCGTTAGGAAAAAAGAGAGCAAATTGGACTTTGTAAAAATGAAGTACTTTTGTGCCTCCAAAGATGTTATCCAGAATACGAAAAAGACGATCTACAGAAGAAATTGCCAGAGAAAATACTTGCAAATGACACGGCTGATAGGGGTTTAATATCCAAGACATATAAAGAGCTCCTCAAACACAGCCACCCAAAGACAACCGGATTCAGAAATGGGCAAAGGACCCAAACAGACGTTTCTTCAAAGATGTTCAAATGGCCAGTGAGCCCATGAAAAGATGCTTGGCGTCAGTAGTCACCAGGGAGGCGCGGACCACAACACAGTGCAAGGCCCCTTCACGCCGCCTGGGGTGGCAGGAGCCGAAACAAAGAGCGTGTCAGCCAGGACGCAGTCCTCGTTGCCCAGGGGCGTGGAGAGCAGCCCAGCCGCCCCGCCAACGGCTGAGCGCGGAGTGACCCGCGATTCCGCTCCTGAGGTACACCCGAGAAGCTGCGTCCACCAGAAATCACACGTGAGCTTTCCCAGCAGCGCTGCTCACACAACCCAGAGGTGGAAACAGCCCCAAGGCCCGTGAGCGGACGGTGGGCGAGCAGTGTGGCCTGTCCACACAGCAGAGGGGATCCACCTCGAGGAGGCTCAGAGGCTCCGAGCGGATGGACGTGGAAGCACGCTGAGTCAAAGAGACCAGACAGAGGCCGCAGGGCACCCCACTGCCTCTTTACTGCGTGTCCTGCGCTGGTAACTCCAAGAAACAGGCAGGAGACGAGGGCCGGAGGAGGGGAGCGGTCACCTAATGGTGAAGGGCTGCGTGCTGCAGTGCTAGACTGTTCTGGAACTGGATGGGGCAGGGGCTGCACAGCACAGTGAATGCACTGATGCCTCAGGGCTGTTCATGTTGGGATCGCCAGTTGTTTGTGAACTTCCCTCAATTAAAAAATGGCAAAAAGCCGAAGTGACCCTGAGGACCATGGCCCAGGCTTTAACTGGGGCTCAGCTTATGGGAAACAGCATCTCTGAGTCCGTGGGGATGCAGAACTCCACAGGCACAATAAGGCCAGCACTCAGAGGATGCGAAGGGCCCAGAGATTCAGAGGGGACAGCCACGCCGGGCAGCCCCTGCCGCCAGGCACCCCCATCACCAGCTCTGAAGGAAGCTGCCTAGCGATCGGGATGGGAGCCCCACCACCACCAGCCAGCCTGGGAGAGGGTCCGGGCCCACAGGTAAGCATAGAGCGTGGAGTTTGGGGGAAGACTGTCACAACGTATTTGTCCCCATCCCCTGCTGCATGACAGTGCCACTAAACTCTGTGGGGACAGCGATGGACATACAGCAGCTGGGGGTCAGGAATCCAGAGAGGCCGGGTGGGTTGGTTCTGGTTTCTGCTATGGGGTTGCTGTCAAACCCTTGGCCAGGATGAAGGCCCCTGTGCCCATGTGATCCAGTGTCAGGAGTGCCCGGCACCATATCTGCTCTCTTCCTGTCCACTCTGAGCAGCGCTGGCCCAGGGGGTGTGGGACTGCCCGAGGGCCTTCCGGCAGCCCGGCTGCACTCTGCCCAGTTTCTGCGCCCACACACCCGTGGCTCCCCCACCGCAGGCCCCCTTCCTTCCTGGGCCTGAGGCCACTGCACAGCCCGCAGGGCCTCTCCATGGGGAGCAGCACCCTCCGTGGTCACCCACCTGCCCCGGAGGCAAGCTCTGCCCTCCCACCTTCCAGGTGAGGGTGGCCCTGTGTGCTGGTACCGCTTGCTGGGATGCCTGGTAGGTACGAAAGACGTGCTTGGTGCCTGGGGACGCGGGGTGTCTGAGGACGCGGGGTGCTTGGAGGGTGCAGTGCACCTGAGCGGGGTGTTCTGCACGCTGCACCAGCGGAGCCGCCCACGTGGGCCCAAGGCTGCCCTGGCCCCAGACTGTCCTGCAGCGCCACCGCGTGGCCACCATGGGGCTTGCCCTGCGCGACAAAGGCCGCCGAGCGCGCTACGCCAGGCTTCCGGAGGGTGGGCGTCCCTGCGGCCCGCATCTGTTCTGCTCCCCGGGCCCCAGATGTGTCTCGACCTTGGACCCGCGTGGCCCAGTGCCCCGACTGGCCTGGGTCCCTAGAGGGTCACCAGCCGGCCCCGCCTTCCCCAGCTGGTCCTGGGCCCCCGACTCGCGGCCCCTCCTGGCCCCCTGCACTCGCAGCTCCCCCAGAATGCCTGCTCTGGGGGCTCCTTCCAGCCCACGCCCCAGGGTGCCCATCTGCCGTGCCCCTGGCATGTCCCCACAGTGGGCGCCACCAACATCCCTTCTGTGTCTTCAGCACCAGCACTTCCTGGGCTCGTCAGAGCTTTCAGTCTTCCAGATGTTCCTCGGCTCATCCAGCATTCTCTGCCGTTTCTGTCACTGCCTCCTTAGTCCGACCCTCAGGACCTGGCCAGGACACTGACGTGGCACCCCCTGCCCATGTGTGAAAGCTGCCCATGCCCCCAGGCCAGCCCCCAGCGCGCCCTCCCCAGCTGGGCTGCCTGCTTCTGGGGTGAACCTGGTAGTTCCAGAAGTCATTCCAGATGACAGATGGGAGGGGGAGAGCCAGGTCAGGTACCAGAGGTGCGGCGCTCGTGGTGGTGTGTGGGCTGAACTGGGAGCCCGTCCGTCAGCTGCTTGCCCAGCTCCCGGACCTCTGCACAGATTGTCTGGACACAGGGTCTTTATAGAGGCCATCGGGGTAAAGGGAGTCATTAGGGCCCTGATCCAGTATGTCCAGTGTTAGGAAAAGGGGAAATGTGACGGGGACATGCGCACACAGAGGCCACGCGAAGCTGGAGGGCAGCCAGCCTAGAAGCTCCAGCCTAGCCTGTGAGGTAGGGGTTTTCCAACATGTGAGCCGCACAGCCCAGCAGCCGGGCGCAGTCAGCGAGAACGGGCAGGTCGGGGAGGCTGCTTCCTGGACTGTCAGCAGGAGCTGCTTCCCGAACGCCAGGCTCTGGGAGCCC